GTTCAGTGGGTTCAGTTCTGTTTGCTGTTGACGGTCCGACCCTCAGAACCCTGCTCGGCTCTAAAGCCTTTGTCTCTCTCTGTGTGGTTCTGGGCGGGTCCGGTTCCCCTGCTGTCAGAGACTTTATTAAACCTGCGGGCAGCATGACTCATGCCCTCTCTCACTCCGGACCCGCCCAGAACCCCCCCGTCTGTGTCAGCGCCTGTTCCCTCCTCTGGTCTTCTGGACCTGGTTCTGCTGCTGCCGGGCCTCTGTTTTAGGAGTGTCTCCTTTATTGGTTTGTGTATCAGAACAAGGAAACCCGGTTTCATCAGCACACAGAACCAGAACAACAACAGCTGTTTGGACTCCACAGCTGGTTCTGATGGTTCTGATGGTTCTGTTTAAATCTGTTTCAGTTTCTGTCCTCCTGCTCGGACTCGTTGGTCACACACACACACACACACACTCCTGTATGTTTCCTTCTGTAGCTCCGCCCTCATCTCCGCCTCTCTGCCCCTCCCCCCCAGGTCTGATGCTCGGCCGCCATCATGTTCGCCAAGAAGAAAACCAAGTCCCGGATCCAGATCTCGGCGCCGTCAAACTTCGAACACCGCGTCCACACGGACTTTGACGAGCAGGAGCAGAAGTTTGTGGGGTTACCACGGCAATGGCAGTCGCTGATCGAAGACACGGCCAAGAGGCCCAAACCGTTCATCGACGCCACCGTCATCACGGCGGTGGAGCCGCGAAAGGTGAGACGATGATGATCTGAGGCAGGGATGAGGTCCGGACTCAGCAGAACCCCTAATGTTGTGTTTTCTATGATGGGGGAGGGGTCATGCTGAGAGGTCTGTGTGTGCAGGCTCCGCCCCCCCGTCCTTCGCTCCTCTCTGACCACGCCTCTTCTTCTCTGTAGGCCATCGTTCGAGGAAACAAACTGGGCGTGGACGGGTCGCTGACCTGGCTGCTGGACGAGTTCGACACCATGTCTGTGACCCGGTCCAACTCTCTGCGGCGAGGCAGCCCCCCCACCCAGCCTCGGAAAGACTCGTCGGTGGGCGTGGGCCATGAGAACGGAGACCCTCACCACAGACACTACCCCCACCCAGACAGACCGGACAGGTGAGGACCAGAGGCAAGGAGATCCTGTTGTCAGAACCGCTTCAGAACCAGAACCTGATCTTTTCACGCTGTAACCCTCAGAGACAGACCTCGACCAGAACATCAGGGTGGAGGAGACCCCCGCCAGGGTCCGAGGGCGCTCCGCCCCCCACAGCGGGACGAGGGGACTCAGAGTCGACCACAGCAGCAGCCCCGGGGTCAAGAGCCCAGCCGGGCCCACAGAGACAGACCCGGTTCAGGTCCTCCTCCCCCCCCTCACAGAGACAGAACGCAGCGGGACCGAGTGGACCAGGTACCGGTTCTAGACCACAGTAATCCAGAGTTCAAGTCTTTGAGATTAAACTTTATTTCACTCAGTTGATCAATAATCACCGCTTCAGGAAAATTCAATCACTTATTGATTTGTTCTTCAGATCCATCGAGGTCTTCATCGTCAGAGTCCGACTTAAACAGCTGTGCGATTTTTTATCCTCCGAGTCGGTCTCGTTTCTGTTCCGGTACTCGTCTGTTCAGTGGCGGTTCCTGCTCAGACCAGTTACCGTAATTCTCTGAATATCCACCGAGCGCCGCCGCTTCGTTACTTACCGAAGTCGAACTTTCACATTCGGACAGATTTCTGAGCGCGTTGAACCTCAAAAAATCAGTAAGTAAGAACAACGAGTCGTCATACAGACGGGCGCCGGATTATAAGGTACGGAGTAGGCCGACTGATCGGGTTTTTTAGGGCCGATGACGATTATTAGGGGGGAAAAATCTGATTACTGATTAATCAGCCGATTTTTAAGATTTTAATGAAGTTATAAAAATAAATATATACAGTAGATGTCCACAGTAGGACAGGAAGTCCGCCTGATCACACTGGGAGCAGAAAAGCGTTTTTAACTCCCCGTTATTCTGGTGCTGATTTGACGATTCACACATCCAGCTGATTTTGGGTGATCTGCTCGTTATCAACCATCTGTCACGTCGTGTCTCAGTCGATTGACAACGAGCAGATCAACCAGATCAGCTGGGATGTGGAGACGCCTAAAACCTGCAGACAGGTGTCTCTCCAGGACCAGGACTGAAGAACTCAGATTTACACTGAGCTCATTATTCCAGTTTGTTAAATTCACTCTGACTGACATGAACCTACAGACGACACTCAGATAACTGAAGAGAAGTAACGTCATGTTTCAGCAGAAGACTTTTGGATATTTGGGTTTCCACCTGCTGTCTTTGTCAACATGCTGGTGAAGCTGTATTTGGTGTGATTACAGCCTCGCTACAGTCCATTGGTTTGATTAAATTGACCTTTGACCTTTGGGAGATCTCATAAATGTTTTTCCTTCATGTCCCCTGAGGGCCTCCGTAAGCAGGCGCAGCGTCTAGATCTTGGCCCAGCCCCCCAGCCCGTGTCTCTCCTAGATCACTCTGTCACCTCGAGCCTGTCTGACCTTTGACCTCCTTTCTCAGGGGCAGGGGTCTCACAGAGATCAGCCGGGTGACCACAGACCAAAGTCCAGCTACGTGGTGCGGGACGGGAGTCCTCAGTCCCCCAGAGACAAGAGGCCTCTCTCTGGACCCAACATCCGCACCCCGAACCTGCCGGTCTCAGAGGGGGGGGTCAAGACCGCCCAGCAGAACCCCCGACCGTTCAACACGTACCCGAGGACAGACAGCGAGGGCGGACGCAGCCCCACGGGACAGGTAGGTCCGCCTGCCGACAGGTGCAGGTCTGACCGTCATAGATGCTCCTCTCCTCTGAACCTGTGACGTTCGTTTGTCCGATCACTCGTTTCCTAAACTCTAAACTCCGCCCTCACAGCAGCGCTCTTTTTACCGTTCCAGTCAGTGAACACAGTTACACAAAACTCACATTTCCTCAACAGACAAGCGACACCTCCCAACAAAATGATGGTCATTATTTAACACACAACATCCCATAATAGCAAAAACAACATTCTAACCCTCGGATACAGAATAAAAACCTCTGCTGCTGCAGTGATACCAGATCAATAACTATCAATCTGAGCTGATCAGAAACAAACAGCTGGTTTATGTCGGGTAAACTGGTGTTAAAACAGCTGATTCTGGTCTGACTCAGAGTCAGGGGTTCAAAGGAGGACAGTGAGGAGGGACAGAGAAAGACAAACGAGGGTCTGAGGGAGAAGAGCAGCAGATGTAGTTGACTGTGAACCTGTTTCTGTTCCATCAGAGTGTGGAAAAGTGTTTTTCTTTGACAGATTAACTTCATTTAGACTCAGGTTTCCAGAGTTTTGGTGAAGTTAGTGTGAGCAGAGAAAGATGATTTAGAAATGAAGAGTTAGTAAGTTAGAGAGAGGATCTGAAGTTTGGGTAAAAAAACTGTACATCTATAAATGAAGGATCTATGTATTTATGATCTATGTTAGTTTGTGCTCTGTTGAAGCTCCGCCCCTTAAACGTGATTTTATTTTATCTCAGTGCTGATACTCTCTCTCTCTCTCTCTCTCTCTCTCCCCCCCTCAGCCGGGTCGACACCATGACTCCTCCTCCTCCTCCTCCCAGAACGGCCCCTCTGGCGGCTCCACCCGCGGTTCCTCTGGATCCAAACCCCCTGTTAGCCACCCTCACCCTCACCACTCCTCGAACCCGAGCCTGACCCCTGACTCCACCCAGCACCCACACACCCCTCACCCCAACGTCCCGGCCCCACGGCCCCCTGTTCCCTCTGGGCCCCCGGCGTCAGGCGCTCCTCCTCAGGGCCGCTCCCCTCAGAGAGAACCCCAGAGGGTCTCTCATGAGCAGTTCAGAGCCGCACTACAGATGGTGGTGGATCCAGGTGATCCGCGGACGTACCTGGACCACTACATAAAGATCGGGGAGGGGTCCACGGGGATCGTGTGTATCGCCACAGTGAAGACCACCGGGAAACTGGTGGCTGTGAAGAAGATGGACCTGAGGAAACAACAGCGGAGGGAGCTCCTCTTCAACGAGGTGAGAGCCCAGAACCTCTGAACCCCCCCCCCTCACTGCTCAGCTGGACTCTGTGAGTTCAGAACCAGTCTGAAACTGTCCCTGATGAGACCAGCTCCCAGGTCAGGACCTTGGCACCAAAGATGATATTTATCAGGTCTCCACAGTCCGACCGTTTCACCGCGACTAAAAATAGAGTGTGAATTATCAAATGTATTTCGGGTCACATGTGCATAACACAACATATTTTTTTTTTCCTGTAAATACTGCGGTGAAGTTAGTTTCAGGTTGGATATATTTTCCTGTAAATACGGCGGTGAAGTTAGTTTCAGGTTGGATATATTTTCCTATAAATACAGCGGTGAAGTTAGTTTCAGGTTGGATATATTTTCCTGTAAATACAGCGGTGAAGTTAGTTTCAGGTTGGATATATTTTCCTGTAAATACGGCGGTGAAGTTAGTTTTAGGTTGGATATATTTTCCTGTAAATACGGCGGTGAAGTTAGTTTTAGGTTGGATATATTCTCCTGTAAATACGGCGGTGAAGTTAGTTTCAGGTTGGATATATTTTCCTGTAAATACGGCGGTGAAGTTAGTTTCAGGTTGGATATATTTTCCTGTAAATACGGCGGTGAAGTTAGTTTTAGGTTGGATATATTTTCCTGTAAATACGGCGGTGAAGTTAGTTTCAGGTTGGATATATTTTCCTGTAAATACGGCGGTGAAGTTAGTTTCAGGTTGGATATATTTTCCTATAAATACGGCGGTGAAGTTAGTTTCAGGTTGGATATATTTTCCTGTAAATACGGCGGTGAAGTTAGTTTTAGGTTGGATATATTTTCCTGTAAATACGGCGGTGAAGTTAGTTTTAGGTTGGATATATTTTCCTGTAAATACGGCGGTGAAGTTAGTTTCAGGTTGGATATATTTTCCTGTAAATACGGCGGTGAAGTTAGTTTTAGGTTGGATATATTTTCCTGTAAATAGGCGGTGAAGTTAGTTTCAAGTTGGATATATTTTCCTGTAAATACTGTGGTGAAGTTAGTTTTCGGTTGGATATATTTTCCTGTAAATACGGCGGTGAAGTTAGTTTCAGGTTGGATATATTTTCCTGTAAATACGGCGGTGAAGTTAGTTTCAGGTTGGATATATTTTCCTGTAAATACAGCGGTGAAGTTAGTTTTAGGTTGGATATCTGACGGACATTCTCTGAGGATCTACCGGTGTCTTCTCACTCTCTATAACCGGGAATAACAACAGCAGCGCGGTTAAATCTACTCGACACCCTCACTGTCAACGTCGGGGTTGAATAAGGGACCGTCAACCTGCGTCCCCAAAAACTGGATCCAGTTTGACAGTCTTCTGCTGAGGTGGTTCTGTGGATCTCCTGAGCGTGAGCCACAGTGACCCACATGTCCTCTTTCTGTGTCCTTCTCTACCTGCAGGTGGTGATCATGCGGGACTATCACCATGAGAACGTGGTGGAGATGTACAACAGCTACCTGGTGGGAGACGAGCTCTGGGTGGTCATGGAGTTTCTGGAGGGAGGGGCGCTCACAGACATCGTTACACACACCAGGTAAGAAGGAGACTCCAGAGGGTGGTGGGAATCTGGTTTTAGTCCAGATCAGAGTCAGCGTTTTAAAAAAGAATCAAATCCAGTTCAGTCTGAAGGTCTGACTGACTGACCCCCATTTTCCACCGCGAGCCGGAGCACGCTGGAGCACGCCGGAGCATGGCGGATAAATTCAGCACAGATTAACCCGTGCTGGAAAGGAAGAACAGAAATCTGTTTGTGGATGAAACAGAGAGACGACTTCCTGAGTGGATGTAGAAACAGTCAGTCAGGTTTCTCAGAGCTGATGAGAAACACTGTCTGAGTGTTTTTATCCACTTTAATTCTGTGTTTGAACCCCTGCGTGGAGTCGTGTGTGTGGGACTGTGATATTCAGTTCCTCTGGTACTGAACTGTGACTCAGCTGAACTCTGGACCGGGTTCATTCTTCCTCATCATCATCATCATCATGTTTCTCATCAGATCAGAATAAAGTGAAAAAAAAACAAAAACACATTTTCTGTGTTCTGAAACTTCAGCCCAGTATTGTCTGTGTTATAATAATACAGTATTCATTATAATGAGACAGATATCATCTTTATATATATTAGTCTTATTATAATAATACAGTATTTATTATAATGAGACAGATATCATCTTTATATATATTAGTCTTATTATAATAATACAGTATTTATTATAATGAGACAGATATCATCTTTATATATATTAGTCTTATTATAATAATACAGTATTTATTATAATGAGACAGATATCATCTTTATATATATTAGTCTTATTATAATAATACAGTATTCATTATAATAAGACAGATATCATCTTTATATATATTATTATATCCGCTCCAAACCTTTGACTCCACTAGGGGGCGGTGTCCTCTCATCAGAACTTCGCCCCACAGTCTCGGCCATCTTACTCCTCAGGTTTTCGTTGGTATAGAGAGTTTTCACAGTCTTTGACTTTGTCTCTATAAATCACTAAAACACGCTAACTTCTGTATTTTTGTCGACCCGTCATCATACCGCTGCACAGACAGATCTTTAGAGGACTGACCTCTGACCTCTCACCTCTCTGTGGTTCCTCTGCAGGATGAACGAGGAGCAGATCGCCACCGTGTGTCTGTCCGTGCTGAAGGCGCTGTCCGTCCTCCACACTCAGGGCGTGATCCACAGAGACATCAAGAGTGACTCCATCCTCCTCACCCACGATGGACGAGTACGTAACCCACACTCTGATCACATGACCACATCAGACCGCTCAGGTCTCAGAAGACAGGAAGTGACCTTTTTGAGGCTGACATTACAGCTTCCTGTGTAAATCCAGAATTAAGCTTTTCTTAGAGAAGAATCAGTTTCTGTGTGTTTACAGGAAGGAAACAGCTGATCATATATATATATATGTGTGTGTGTGTGTGTGTGTGTGTGTGTGTGTGTGTGTGTGACCACAGCGGCGAGGGTTTTAATGTCTGATTCTTGAAGGACTCTTACAGGAAAGTTCAGTCATCCGTGAGGAAGTGATCTGACTGTTCTGACCGTCTGTTTTGTAAACACGGCGACACGATCACAGTGTCAGAGAGCCTCAGTGGTGTCGGGTTTCACTGTGTTTGTGTTTCTGAGAACAACATCATGACTTCAGTGGAAATGTGGCGTTAAAGTGACATCATCACGGCGTTCCTCATGACTGTCTGACTGAGTGACCGCGGTCGTGCTGTAGGGATGGGAATCCATCGACATCGTTCACATTTTATCTTAACGATTCTTTTCTTCCGGGTGTCTTCAAAAACGGTCTCACGAGTGCCGGTCTACGCAAGCGGGAACAGAGACGGAGGAAGAAAACATGGCGGACGGTCAATGATCTAAAGCGTGGTTTAATTTTACTAAGAAGGACGACAACACGTTTGTGGAGCAGTGAGAACATGTAAAACAGAGCAGAGCATCAGTGCTGTCTGCAGCTCCGCCCCTGCGATCACGTCTAAGTAAAGTCACTGACGTGGCGCTCACATGCGCCGTCTTTGGGAATTTAGAATAATGTGTTTAACTGAGTTAGGAGGACATAAAAACACTCGACCAAAAAAACCCTCAAAATTTCACACACAAGTCGGCCCGCGTGGTCGTGTCTTCTTGTTGGCGGTTCAGAATTTGGTCACTCTAACATCGGTCCTGTTTTTACACAAACACAGAAATACTGAACAAATAATTTTAGTTTGATTATTTCAGACTCTCACTGACGTCTGTTATCAGAGACTCAGTAACAGTAAAAAAAACTTTGATTTCAGTCAATAAACAGAATCAATAATGTCATTGATATCAATAACATCGTCCCTATGATGCTGTGAGCTGATGTTTGACCGTCACTCTGAACTCTCAGCTCTCGGTTCTGTCGCCATCAGAAGAGGTTTGAAGAGGATCCATGAGGATCATTTAGAGACAGAACCGAGGAGGTTCTGTTCGCTCAGAGTGAGATCAACCCGACTCCAGCTCTGCTCTCGGTTCAGGTTCCTCTTTTTCATCTCTAAGGTCACTCTCCTCCTCCTCCTCCTCCTCCTCCTCCTCCTCCTCCTTCACAGTTACTGATTCACTGACATCCTGGATGTTGAAATGACAGAAATCACTTCATCTTCGCTGAGGTGACGCCGTGTCAGAGTGTTTGCAGATAAAAAGGCGTTGAAAGATCACGTGTTTGATAAGCTAACGCTGCCAACACTCGGCACCGCCCAGGAGCAGAACCTCGCCCAGTTCTGGAGAATTAAAAAAGGAAATTGTGGGTCAGAAAAAGGAACTCAGATCCTCCACTGCTGTCCACTTCCTGTGCGTGGACGAGTGAGTTTCTGCTTTCTGCAGAGAATGAAACCAACATCGACCTTCAGATGTTTCCCATCAGCCCCTCTGTCTGTCTGCAGTTTTCAGGTCGTCCTCCAGGTGAAGTGAGAGAGCAGCAGATATCAGCTGTTCCTCTGCACCATGAAAACACGCACAGGCGTGCTTCTGCAGAGCGCCGCAGTTTCAGCTGAGTCATCAACACTCATGTCAGCAGCTGTGTCCCGTCATGTCTGAGTTCAGGTCTCACATCCGGAGATGATGCTGCTCCTTCTTCTCCTGCTCCATTTCTCTGGAGGTTGTCCTTCACAGGTCTTTGTAGATGCTCCTCAGGTCAACAGCTGATCAATCAAAATGATCCCAGCAGGAAAACCGTTTCAGCCGCGCTGAGGTGGACAAACTGAAGATAACCCAGTTAGACATAAAGCCGTTCTCTGTCCCCGTTTCTCAGACTGACTTTTTCTGAACTCACCAGAACATTTCAGAGAAGGTTCGAGACTCTCAGAGGAGTTTGAAGATCCTCCAGACTGACCTCGTCTCTTTAATGTAGTGAGGAAACATCAGGTCCCTGAGTGTGGTCTGAGTGTGTGTAGTTGTAGTTTGTGTAGTTGTAGTTTGTGTAGTTTGTGTAGTTGTAGTTTGTGTAGTTGTAGTTGGTGTAGTTGTAGTTTGTGTAGTTTGTGTAGTTGTAGTTTGTGTAGTTTGTGTAGTTGTAGTTTGTGTAGTTGTAGTTTGTGTAGTTGTAGTTTGTGTAGTTTGTGTAGTTGTAGTTTGTGTAGTTTGTGTAGTTGTAGTTTGTGTAGTTAGTGTAGTTTGTGTAGTTGTAGTTGGTGTAGTTGTAGTTTGTGTAGTTTGTGTAGTTGTAGTTTGTGTAGTTTGTGTAGTTGTAGTTTGGGTAGTTTGTGTAGTTGTAGTTTGTGTAGTTGTAGTTTGTGTAGTTTGTGTAGTTGTAGTTTGTGTAGTTTGTGTAGTTGTAGTTTGTGTAGTTGTAGTTTGTGTAGTTTGTGTAGTTTGTGTAGTTGTAGTTTGTGTAGTTTGTGTAGTTGTAGTTTGTGTAGTTTGTGTAGTTGTAGTTGGTGTAGTTTGTGTAGTTGTAGTTTTTGTAGTTTGTATAGTTGTAGTTTGTGTAGTTGTAGTTTGTGTAGTTTGTGTAGTTGTAGTTTGTGTAGTTGTAGTTTGTGTAGTTGTAGTTTTTGTAGTTTGTGTAGTTGTAGTTGGTGTAGTTTGTATAGTTTTAGTTTGTGTAGTTGTAGTTTGTGTAGTTTGTGTAGTTGTAGTTGGTGTAGTTTGTGTAGTTGTAGTTTGTGTAGTTTGTGTAGTTGTAGTTTGTGTAGTTTGTGTAGTTGTAGTTTGTGTAGTTTGTGTAGTTGTAGTTGGTGTAGTTGTACTCGGACCTCTGCCCTAGGTGGGCTCATGTTCTGAGAACTTCCTGGTCTTCTGTTTCTGAGGTTCCTGGTTGGTTTGGTTGTTGAGTCTGGTAGAGGAAGCAGACCTAACCGAGCCTGACGGGTTTCTCGGCAGCGGGGGTGGGGCGGGTTTGTGTGCAGCCGTGTGATTGGTGGATAAGTAGGTCAAGGTCTTTATTTTTGTTTGGCTGTGGTGTTGGTGTGAGGGTTAGTTTCAGTTTCAGGTTTGTTTAGCAGAGCTGATCTTCTCAGGGGGGGGGTGTTCAGTGGTTCTCGGGGCAGACTGGTTTCATTTCTCTTTCTGAGCCAGCTGTGGTGAACGGTCCGAGGAGTGGGTACCGTGAAGGGGAACTTCTCTGCTGAGTTACAGGACTGTCACAGAGACTGAAATATAATAACTGATGAGACTGTGGACCACCTCAGTTCTTCTCCTGAGGACCAGCTCCACAGTGAAGACCTGGAGAGCTCTGTGAGGAGGTCTGATGAGGTCTGCCCTGGTCCAGCAGGATCAGGACTCATCAGATCTGAGCTCTTAGTGAAAGTTTTTATCATTCCATCGTGTACAGCTGTCTACAGTAATATAATAATAATAATAATAAGTATAATAATAATACCCCCCCCCCTCCAGGTGAAGCTGTCGGACTTTGGGTTCTGCGCTCAGGTGTCTAAGGAGGTTCAGAGGAGGAAGTCTCTGGTCGGGACCCCGTACTGGATGGCACCAGAACTCATATCCAGACTTCCCTATGGACCAGAGGTGATCCTCCTTCACTGCAGTGTAAGTCCTTCTTCTTCTTCTTCTTCTTCTGTCCTGCTGACCCGCCCTCTTTGCCGTGTGCAGGTCGATATCTGGTCTCTGGGCATCATGGTCATAGAGATGGTGGACGGGGAGCCGCCGTACTTCAACGAGCCGCCACTCAAAGCCATGAAAATGATCCGGGACAACCTGCCCCCCAAACTGAAGAACCTGCACAAGGTACGCAGACCCAGACTGAGTGTGAGCATGTGAAGGTTTTTACTTTGGCAGCTCCTCAGGAGGTCGAGAAGAGACACACTGGAGAGTTTCTGACCACCTGATGACTCTGTGGTCAGACGTGTGAGTGAACGTTCTCACCTGAAGGTACCTGGACCGTAAGGCTGCTGGTTATTCTGGGTTCACTGGTTCTGAAACAGTTTAGAGTCGGACTAAAATAAAAAAAAACTAAAAAGGAATAAAAGAGTTTATCTGTTTTTTTTAGAAATTATATTTTGTTAGTTCAGCCCCCCCTCAGAGAAATGAAGCTCAAAGACTTTTTAAAAATATTTTTGATATATTTATGACATTTTCAGGACAAAATAAGTTACTAAAAAGTTTTTTTCTCATATTCTAAAGTTTTAGTCTAATTTTAAAGTTTTTCCCTCATATTTTAAAGTTTTTTTTCTTATATTTCAAGTTTTTTTTTCTTATATTTTAAAGTTTTTTTTCTTATATTTTAAAGTTTTTTTTCTTATATTTTAAAGTTTTTTTTTTTAATCATATTTTTAAAGTTTTTTTCTTATATTTTAAAGTTTTTTTTTAATCATATTTTTAAAGTTTTTTTTCTTATATTTTAAAGTTTTTTTTCTTATATTTTTAAGTTTTTTTTTAATCATATTTTTAAAGTTTTTTTTCTTATATTTTAAAGTTTTTTTTTTAATCATATTTTTAAAGTTTTTTTTCTTATATTTTTAAATTTTTTTTTCTTATATTTTAAAGTTTTTTTTAATCATATTTTTAAAGTTTTTTTTCTTATATTTTAAAGTTTTTTTTTATCATATTTTTTAAGTTTTTTTTCTTATATTTTCAAGTTTTTGTCGGTTCCTTGAGGACCAGAAGGAGGTTTTTTTTTTCAGTCTGACTTTTCTTGTTAAGGTTTTTTCTTCTCTCATCGTTTCTTTACAAACCTTCTCCACGGCTGACTCCTGATGGACTCTGGATGTTCTCGTCTTCTTCTCCAGGTCTCTCCTCTCCTGAAGGGCTTCCTGGACAGGATGCTGGTGCGTGATCCGGCTCAGAGGGCCACCGCCAGCGAGCTCCTCAAACACCCGTTCCTGACCAAGGCGGGGCCGCCGTCCTGCATCGTCCCTCTGATGAGGCAGAACAGGATGAGATGAAACATGCGGACGCCGGTCTGACCTCCAGACTGTGGGTGGGGAGGGGGGGCAGCGTGTGCAGGTTCAAGTTGATACAGAATACTCCTGCACACAGAGGAGGAGACCGCCACCGCCACGGGGGTCAAAGGTCACGTAGGAGAGGGTTCAAACTGCAGGCGTGTGTGTGCAGGAGTATTCTCTCTGTCTGTCTGTGAATCACACGACTGTGGGGGTCACTCCTTCAATCAGAGGCAATAAGGCAGTGAGTGTGTGTGTGTGTGTGTGTGTGTGTGTGTGTGTGTGTGTGTGTGTGTGTGTGTGTGTGCACGTGTAAGTGAGTGTGCACGTGTATGTGTGTGTGTGTGTGTGTGTGTAAACATGTCCACAGCACTGTTAGAGTCAGTGTGTCGTGGTTCATTCCTGTGAGGATCAGAGGAGCCTTAACGGATCGACTTCACTGAACCGTTGAGGGTTCTGACCCGAGACCAGCGCCGTCTTCTTTCCCCGTTTGGGTCTGAACCGGATCTGATGTGTAGATCTGGATCTGAAATGTTGACACTACAAAGACTGGAGACTCCTGCGGATCCTGACCACGACCAGAACTTTACTACTGAGGGAGGACCCCTTCAGACTCTGAGCGGAGTCACACAGACTTTTATTTTGTAGTCCTGTAAACACTCACTTCCTGTTGGAAACAAGCAAACACACTAAGTCAGCAGAAAAAAAACACACTGGAGTTTTTTTTAATTCTTGAATTTTAATTTTTTCTTCTTTTGTTTTTTGTTGTTTCTGTGTAAAAACATGGAGATCTTTTATCGGTTTGAGCTTCTCTGTTTTCTGATGGTTTGATGATGAAGATGATGATGATGAAGATGATGATTTGTTTGACTCTTTCCTCTGGAGAAGATGGGGTCTATGTTTTGAAGCACTGTCCATAAGAGATAGAAGCTGCACTCTCAGTCAGTCGGCTGAGTCCAGATCTTAGACACTAGATGTTTTAGTTTGTAGATGATTATTTTAGACTGTCGAGAAGAAACCAGATCATCACAGAGACACCGGTGCTCCTGGAGATACCAGACAGGAGGAGATCTGGTCCAAACAGGCCTCCAGTGACCCGACGGTTTTAGACTTCAGCTTTTATGTTCCTGCAGGTCCTCAGGAGGTCCTGATGAAGGTCCTCACTGACCTGCAGGTCCTCAGAAGGTCCTGATGAAGGTCCACACTGACCTGCAGGTTCTCAGAAAGTCCTTATGAAGGTCCACACTGACCTGCAGGTTCTCAGAAGGTCCTGTTGAAGGTCCTCACTGACCTGCAGGTCCTCAGAAGGTCCTGATGAAGGTCCACACTGACCTGCAGGTCCTCAGAAGGTCCTGATGAAGGTCCTCACTGACCTGCAGGTCCTCAGAAGGTCCTGATGAAGGTCCACACTGACCTGCAGGTCCTCAGAAAGTCCTGATGAAGGTCCTCACTGACCTGCAGGTCCTCCTCTGAACATCAGCTCTCTCACAGCAGCTCCTTCTTCGGTTTGGAGGAGAGCTGATGGTGATCCTCCTCTCTGACAGATCAGCTGATTCTCCTCTTTGTCTTCCACTTCAGAGAGCTTCCTCCAATCAGAGCAGACCTCGCTCGGTCAGGTGGTCACTGTCAGGATCCTTGAACCTGCGGCGTGCTGAGCGTCAGAAAGGAACGCTGTCATCTTCAGATGTTTCCTCTTCCTGTCAGGAGGACTTGGTGTCCTGGTCTGAGATGGTCTGTAGGTTTTCTGAGGGTCATGGTGTCCCCCGTTTATCCTGGAGGTCTGGTCTCAGATGCTCCTCCTCCTCCTGTGGTCGTCTCTGTAACAGACAGTGAACAACAGAGAAGCCATCTTAGATTTCAGTCTGGGGTTACTGGAGGGTGCGTGCGTGCGTGCGTGCGTGCGTGCGTGCGTGCGTGCGTGCGTGCGTGCGTGCGTGTGTGTGTGTGTGTGCGTGTGTGTGTGTCCTCAGTACATCTACAGTCCAGACCTGACCGGCCTAGATTCTGACCGTTCTAGATCTAGATCTCTGTAGAGTCACGAACATCCTGATGGTTTTTCAGGGGGACCAGGACCCTCCAGATTGAGGACTCTTCATGGGTTCTGGGTTCTCCTTCAGTCCTCAGGGGTTTTCAGGAAGCAGGACTGCTGGGACCTGAATCTTCTGGATCCTGGTTCTGGTGTTGAGCAGAACTTTTCAGAGTCAAGGGTCTTCATCCTGAAGGTCAAGTCCTCCTGACCTGTGACAGAGAGTCTCTGCAGTGGTCCGGTCCGGTCCTGTGTGTTGTGTCTGGGTCGAACAGGTCCGGTCCGGTCCTGTGTGTTGTGTCTGGGTCGAACAGGTCCGGTCCGGTCCTGTGTGTTGTGTCTGGGTCGAACAGAACCCTCCTCTGTTTTTGTAAATCTCTGGTTCTGTAAAAACGTCGAGTTCACTTTGAAAATACAGATTTTACAATCAAAGTTTTTTTTCTTCTTCGTCTGTTTTTTTCCTCTCAGTTCTGCCGACCTGAACCGGTTCTGTTCTGAAGAAGTTCTGACTAAAAACCACAGACTGTATATAGAATCTATAGGGTTAGGGTTCATATACTACTATGATATAACTAATCAATAACTAATATACTCATATAAAGTTCATACAGTATCTGCTGAAAACCCAGACAAGGTCAGGTTCTGTCAGAACGACCCGGTTCCATCAGAGGATCAGTCCGTTTAGCAGCCTGGTCTCAGGGGGACGACCCGGTCTCAGGGGGACGACCCGGTCTCAGGGGGACGACCCGGTCTCAGCGCAGATTTAAAACTCCAGAACAAATCTGAGTTTAATCAGCAGGAATCAGATAAAGATGTTTCAGATCTCTGTGAGCCGATCAATCAAACCGATCAGTTTTTAAACCAGGTCTAGATCCCTCTGTCTAGATCCCTGTCTAGATCCCTCTGTCTAGATCCCTCTGTCTAGATCCCTCTCTTTCTCACTCATCATCACTTTTTCTTCTTTAAAACTTTAAAAAAAAACAGGATTTCTGAGAAGATCAGCTGAAG